GCCACTAATGGGTCTGTCGGGGCCCCGGGGCAGGTGGTTGCACTGGTTCGAAATGTGGTTTGTGGCATTGGTGACAGGTGACAAATGGGTCTCATTGACCCTGTTTGCTTACGGGGGGGATTAGGATAAATGTGACAGGAAGTAAAATGAGGGGAAAGACACGCTGGCTCATCAGTCAAACATGTTTGGGCAAGGTTATAATGAATGATCATTGGTGAATCATTGGTGAATCGGTGTTTTTACAACGTGTGTGCGGACTGGTATTAACGTGATCTGAACGGACTCGATGTCGTCCTCAGGATTGCTGGAGACACGGCTCTGTGCAAGAACATACATGAATCGGTCAGTCGCCAGATGCGGAAGAACTTCGCCAAAAGCAAGTGGAGGGTGAGTGATGTGACAGCAGTGAGTAACTGCTACGAATAACGGGCCAGAATAAACACACAGCAAACACGCAGGGGGTCGGCCGTAGACCTCACACTTGTGTCGTCTCTTTGCAGCAAGCCTTTAATGCCACGGCTGTGATTCGCCACATGAGGCGTCTGCAGCTGGGAACCAGCTTCGGAGGCAGCAACAACTCCGTACCCAACCCCCAGAACCGAGCTCCGGCCAAGAGCCAGTCTGTAGACTGTGCCCCGCTGTCGCTGAACAATTGTGAGTGACAGATACTGCACACACACAACTGGAAGGGCATTGAACCAGGTGGCATCTGTTAGAAAAAGATATTTACACTTTCGTTAAGTTGCATTTTCGGTCATTAGCTTATTTTTTTACAATGAAATACAATTCAAATTCGATTAGCCCTTGGTGCGTTTCTGAAAAAGTAGCGTCTGCTGTTTGCCGGTGCTCACCTTGGTAATTAACAGAGGTGTGGACCCGAGTCGCATGACTTGGACTCGAGTCAGACTCGAGTCATCAATTTAATGACTTTAGACTCCACTTGACAAAATGTAAAGAGACTTGGAACTCGACTTGGACTTTAACATCAGTGACTCGTGACTTCACTTGGACTCGAGCCCTTTGACTCGA